TGGATGCCCTTCCAGCTGCAACCGAGTACTGGGAAACACCCATACACACTCATTCTCACACACACACACACACACTCAATTTAGTTAATCAATTCCCCCAAAGCGCATGTGTTTGGACTGTGGGGGAAACCGGAGCATCAAGGGGAAACCGACGTCAACATGGGGAGAACATGCAAACTCCACACAGAAATCCCAACTGACCCAGCCGGGACTCAAACCAGTGACTATGTTCGCTAGTGTTGATTCAGAGTGTTTTTGCCCACACAGACATGCCATCACACCCTAGCTTTAACAGCAGTCTATTGTTTAGCGTAGTGCACACATTGTGTCGTGAATCTGAAGGGTCAGTACTGAACAATGGTCAGTTCTGGACATGTAAGACGTGACGCATTACTGAACAGCTCTTCAACTGGAGGAAATCAAGAGTTCCCTTCATTACAGTGACGTGTGTGTTAGTGTGTGTGTGTGTGTGAGTCATTTGTTTGGAGAAGTGCACTAGAGCTGGTTATCTACCTGAACAAAGCAGCCAGACGTGCAAAGCAAACACTCTAAAGGATTGCTGTAAATAACACAGTATTATACTGTAACATGAGCTGTATTTTAAAGTTTCTTATATTGCAGGTCATGATTTTTTTTTTCAAGTACGATGCAATCCTGGACTAACATCAGCAATCAGCCAATCAGATTCAAGAACCAGACAGAACTGTTGTATATATATATGTTGTATATATATACTGTACCTTGCCATTCATACCGAGGTATTACCATACCGTGAAATTCTGATATCATTACATCCCTAATATATATATATATATATATATATACATATATACATATATATATATATATATATGTATATATGTATATGTATGTATGTATATATATATTAGGGATGTAACGATATCAGAATTTCACGGTATGGTAATACCTCGGTATGAATGGCAAGGTACAGTATTTATTGAATCATTTACAGGAAAAACAAAACCAATAAAAAGACTCTAAAAAAGTGATTATTTACCTTAGCACTGAACATATCAATGACACAAATTAGTCGTCTATCTGTTAGCTTTGAAAGAACCTAAATTTTTCTATTTTAATTACAAAAAAATTATTAAACCATGGAAAAAAAAAAGTTTGTAATTAGTATTGTTGAAAACTCATCACATTCAACATTTAATCACTCACTCAGATAGAGATGGGTTTTTTTGCAAGGAAAATTATCATATGAATATAATCTGCTAAAAGCTGGGATCTCTGTGCATTTACAATGTCCCCTGCAACAGAAAAAACCCCTCTCATTTGGGACTGAGGATTCTGGGACAGAGAGATATGATTAAGCTAAGGTTGGTATACTACCTCCCAATATGCCACTGTCACTTTATCACAATTATCATGTTTACAAGTTCTTTTTGCACTATACTGTTTTTTTATCTGCACAACTCTGGTTTACTTTGCACTCTTTGCTATATGCCCTTAATGTCACTGTATTGTTTACAGTTTTTATTACATATGTATATTTTTTAGACCACATTTATGTGCAATGTATATACTGTAAATTTTCTTTTTTTCTTAAACTCTACTATTTTTTATATATACATATTTTATATTAATGTTAAGCACCTTGGGTCTGAGAGTAACGCAATTTCGATTCTCTGTATGTCTTGTACATGTGGCTGAATTGACAATAAAGCTGACTTTGACTTTGACTTGACAGCAGTGGGTAACGTTGTGCATCGTCTTTCCACTACTTGAGAGGACAAGGCATGAGTGAGATAGAGGTCTCTTTGCGGTACAAGTCAATGTCTGCATCAATCTGAGCAGTGCGCTGTGTTCTGCTGGCCCCTTGACTTTTAGTTGTATTCCCCAACTTGTATTTCAAGTGTATTTAGTGCCTGCATACCGTTTTTAGAAAGAATCCGAAAAGCTTCCACACATCTAATTTAAAACCCGCTTTCATTTAAAACCCCGATCATTTCCAGCTCTTTTTCTTCCCCGCTACTAGCAGCACACTCTATTTCCGCATTACTGGATCTGTATCGACAACAGACCGCAAAGGAATATGGCCACGCCTGGGCTGATGGGAATCGTAGTTCCCGCTACCTACCATTCGCTTCATTCACCTGAGCAAACTCTTCTCAGAAGACCTATAGTTTTATTGAGTCATTTACAATACCGTTACATACCTAATATATATATATATATATATATATATATATATATGTGTGTGTGTGTGTGTAGTGTGTTAAATGAATATAATAGTTGATATGACTAGAACAAGCTCAAATAATGCATGTTGGCACAACATAATAAAGAAAAGCAAAGCTAATTTTAACCCCTGTAATTTGAAGTTACTGTAAACACAGTTCTTGTTTGGTTTCATAATCAGAGTTTAGCGCTGAACTTTATAAACAGCATCTGTGATTAACTTGAGCATCTAGAACAGCCTTTCAGAATCTGAGTTTGTTGGTTTAGAGGATATAAACGAGAAACGGCTGATTTACAGTAATCTTCTTTCTGACTGAGCTTGACGCTGAGCTTCATGAAATATACATCAGCTTCTCGACTCAAACTGTGCTCGTTTTCTTTATGAATTCTTTAGCAGAATATAGACGTGAATAATGTAAGAGAGATGGTCTCTAAATGAGAAATACGTCTCGGAGAGAAGCCGCAGTGGTCACATGATCTATTAGAGCTGTGCAAGCTTATGCTAATCTGTTAGCTCTGTATCATCATTAATTGGATTCAGAGGGATTTAATTCTTTGCTTTAATTTTAGTCATTTAAGTTTTTATTTGGGGTGGTAATTTTCATTTGACAGTGGTTAGCACTGTCGTCTCAGAGCAAGAAGGTTATTAGATCGAGTTGGCATTTCTGTGTGGAGTTTGCATGTTCTCCTCGTGTTGACTCGGGCTTCCTTCACACATGCATATAGGAGAATTGGATTAACTAAATTGTCTTTTGTGGATGAGTGTGTGGAAATGAAAGTGTATGGGTGTTTCCCAGTACTGGGTTGCAGCTGGAAGAGTATGTGTAAAACATGCTGGAATAGTTGGCGGTTCATTCCACTGTGGCAAGCCCTGATAAATAAAGGTACTAAGCTGAAGGAAAATGAATGAATGAATTTTCAGTTGAGTAATTTAGCATTCCTGCCATGAGGATAGCTTGTTGCTTGCATGAGATGGGATAAAATAAAAAGATTTAGTAAAGATTTTATGAATCTGTTTATATATACTTTTATTTATTTAATTTATTTGCTTTAATTATTTTAGAACTTTAACACTTAAAAGGCATATGGTGAAAATTTCACAAACAATAACAAATGAACAACCCATAAAAACACTGATTTTAACCTAAAAAAATTTATTCCTTATATTTTTGTAAAAATATATATATATTTTTTTAATTTACAAGATCGAATATGTGTGTGTGAGTGTGTGTATTTATATATATACACACACACACACATATATATATTTTTTACTTTTTTACTTTACTTGTAACAAACTAAAAATAAAATACAAAATAAATATTTAAATGTAATATTTAAATTACAAAAATGTGCTCCTCTGTTAGTCATAATATTTTAATGATTAGTTGTTCATTGAGGTGAAATTAAAAGAAACCTAAAGTAGATTTTACAATAAATATTTTAAGCGTGCCATTAGTTTTTGTTAATTATTTATGGAACAGATTTATTATACACTGAATAAAACTAAATATTTTAAGAAAATTGCTTGGAAACAATTTATATGGGCTGAATTTAAACAAGTTGAACATTACAACATTTCATTTCTTTGTTTAAATTCAGCCCGTGTAAATTGCAAAAGAAATTATAACAAAACAAATATAAAACTGTATTATTTAAATGAAATTACATGAAAAATGTAAATATTATATTTTTTTATATTTTGTTGAGTTTTTTTACTTTAACATTTAGTAAAACTGTTAGTCTATTTTGATCAATTAAACATGATTAACAGACACATCTTTCGACTAAATGTGTTGGAACTAATATTAATTAAGATTAATAATGCCTGTAGCTGTAGTTAGTTCATATTAACTATTAACTTAACTTAAAATACTTAATTTAACTTAAAATAATAAATACAAATCATCCATCTGCCTCATGTTGCTGAAATACATAATGACACAAGCAGAAACTCCCTGGAGTGTCTCATGTAACTTGGCATAGATTTGTGGTACGTTTGTGTCATCATCATGAGCGATTGAGCCAGTATTAACAGCAGATGTTTACAGCGGTATCTCGGTAACAGATCGAAAGCGTCGTCATCATTTACGTAAGACCTGAACATGAGCACACACGCTTCTGTCTGCTGTGGATATACACAACAGATGAAGAACGGCTGACGGCAACTTCTGCTGAGACATGCCCTGTAAAAAATATCCATAAATTAGCACTTTTCTGTATTTTGTAATTCGTGTTTTCGTTTTTCCCCATTTATTTATGCTTTTGTATTGCATTATGGGAGCTTGATCTTTCTTTCAACAACTTTTAACCTTGGAAAGTGTAAAAAACTGACTTTTATGAACATTTGTAATAGTTTGCAATGCTACATTGTCTGTGTTGGTGTTGTATATTACGCTACAGAAACCTTGCACACTTATTTCTCTAGATATTATTTCTAATGCATACTATTTTCCCCAAACTACTAAAATGTCAATAAAAGTCACTTTGGTAAACTGTAGAGTTGAACTTTCACTATTAAAAGTGGACAGAGCAGAGATCAACATCCCATAATGCAATTCACAACCGGAAATAAACAAAAAACACATAAAATACTCTTCATTGACAGGTATTTTTACAGTGTATAATCGCATGGTGTTTTGCTGTAAATATATAAGAATTAAAACTGTTCAACCATTTGCTAGTCACATACAGTATTTGGGAGGTCTATGCCACCCTGTGCTACCTGTTTAGAGTCATTTAACAATGCAAATATTAGTACAAAATAACAACGCAAATGTATTTTTTCTGTTTAGGCTCAGGTTGAAGCTCAGAAAGCCACACAGGAGTATCAGCGGGCCATTGAGATCCTGCGGGCAGCGAAAGAGACCATTGCTTTAGCAGAGGAGCGTCTGCTGGAGGAGGACAGCCGGCAGTTTGACTCGGCCTGGCAGGAGATGCTCAACCACGCCACACAGAGGGTCAGAAACACCAACCTCGTGTGCTGTTCAAATTGACCACCCTTTGGTTATGTTGGGGGCTGTTTTTGCCCTATTGACTTCCATTATAATGCAAAGCATGGCAGCATATGATCATGCATTCCTGCTGGCAAGAGTTAAAATGTTTAATTTATACAGTTAATCATCAATTGGCAGCATTAACCCTTTTACATAGGCATGTGCAAACAAGTGGCTTTATATGGAGTAAAACAGCAGATTAGTGTGTGCAGAAATACACTTACTGTGTTTACTATGTTCTGAGAGCAACACTACCTTTTTTTGCACTGCAACTGATGATAAACAGATAAAAATTGTACCTCTTGCCAACAGGGAAACATGGCTTTGCAACCAATAAATGCCATTACACTCTCAGAAATACAGTTATATCACTGGGGTGGTACCTTTTCAAAAGGTACAAATCTGTACCTAAAAGGTCCAAATTAATACCTCAAGTCTACATATTAGTACCTAAACATTTTAAGAGGAACACTTTTGTACTTTTTAGGTACTAATATGTACCCTTGAGGTATTAATATGGACCTTTTAGGTACAAAATTGTACCTTTTAAAAAGGTACCACCCCAGTGACAGATTGCGTACCTTTATTTCTGAGAGTGTATAATGGAAGTCAATGGGGCAAAAACAGCCCCCAACATAACGAAAGGGGAGTCAATTTGCCCAGAGTGTATATTGTAGTTTTTTTTGTACATTTTCAAAGTATTTTCCCCTAAAATATGTGTAAAAACAAGGGTTAATATGCTTTGCTCTGATTGGCTGTTTCAGATTTTTTCAACACATTTCTAAACAAAATAGTTTTAATAACTCATCTCACTTTTATTTTGGATGCGATTAATTATAAGCACTGAAACATTTTAAATAATATTTAATCTTTTTTTTCAAATATTTTAAAATAATTAATTTTATTGTATAGATTTTAAAACATGCCATTTAATATACAGTAATGAAAATCTTTAAAGTATTGCCATCAATAATATTGCAAATAACAACATATAAAACATTATTTAATTACATAAATACCTTTATTTCTGAGAGTGTATAATGGAAGTCAATGGGGCAAAAACAGCCCCCAACATAACGAAAGGGGAGTCAAATTGCCCAGAGTGTATATTGTAGTTTTTTTTTGAACATTTTCAAAGTATTTCCCCCTAAAATATGTGTAAAAATAAGATTTATCACCAAACATCATTACATTTGCTGAAAAACAGAGAAAGTCGTGGCCAAATTAAGCCTCAAAATCACCCCAGAGTGGATGAAATCATCCCCAACTGCACATAAGGGTTAATATGCTTTGCTCTGATTGGCTGTTTTAGGTGATGGAGGCGGAGCAAAGCAGGACGCGCAGTGAAATGGAGCACAGAGAAACTGCGGCCAAATACAACGCCGCCATCAGCCACATGAGACAGCTGGAGAAAAAGCTGAAGCGCACCATCAACAAATCCAGGTCAGAGACGGGAGTGTGTGTTTCTGATATACACAGATTTCTTTTGGCTTGATGGATTTATGTTCATTTACTTGTTTTCCATCGGCTTAGTTCCTTATTTATCACGGGTCGTCACAGGTGAATGAACCACCAACTATTCCAGCATATGTTTACTGCAACCCAGTACTGGGAAACACCTTTACACACTCATTCACACACACACTCATACACTACGGCCAATTTAGTTCATCCAATTCACCTATGACCCTATGCCAACACGGGGAAAACATGCAAACTCCACACAGAAATGCCAACTGGCTGTATTTGGGATTTATATTTTTTATATTAAACATCAGTATTTGGGAATAAAATGATTTGTGTTTCAGGAAACCCACAAACTGCTTCCCGTCTCTTGTGAAAGTCTTGTGTAAGAGTGCGGTGTGTTGTGTTTGGCATCTGCTGTGCAGTAATGTCTTCCAGATGTGTTTCTGCTGCTGGAATGTGCTTCTCTGGCCTTTTATACAGCTCTGAAAGACAGACTCTGATCATCCCTGCTCTTTCTCTCCCTCTGCAGGCCGTACTTTGAACTGAAGGCAAAGTATTATTTACAGCTTGAGGTGAGTTAGAATTCATTTAACACAAAAAAAACTTGTTTTTAAGTATTAAGAGTTCTTACTATAAGTTGTGTTGCTTTTTTACTTTTCCCTGACAATTAATAAGTAATTTCACTCTAAAATATGATTACTGTGGGAAAAAAACACTAGTTAAATCTAAAAAGATTTAAATTCATGCAGTTTATGCATCACTGTCATTTGTTGTACTGATTTTAAATGGTTGGTGTATACATAATTGAATTACCTTTGTATTAATTAGAACAATTGACAAAATATAAATCAAAATGCTGTCAAAGTTTTATGTAATTTATTAGAATGGCCAAAAAAAATAATGAAAATAGAAATGATCAATTAATCACACATGCGCATTTTGGTAATCAGGATTTGCTAATTATTCATTCATTTTCCTTCGGCTTAGTCCCTGATTTATAAAGGGTCGCCACAGTGGAATGAACCGCCAATTTGCTAATTAATAAATAACAAAATAATTTAATAACTAAACTAATAAATGTGTTTTATAATTAAATATAAATTTTAGGGCAGTAGATTTATTGTGATGCATCCAAAATAAAAGTTTGTTTTGACAATTTAAGCCTGTGTAGTGTGTTTGTTTATTGTGTATATTTAAACATATAATGTGACATATAATTAAAACACCAAGCTATGTATACATGTACAAAACATATTATGTACATATAAATTATATATAAATATATATATATATATATATATATATATATATATATATATATATATATATATATATATATATATATATATATAT